ATCAGGCTATAAAATATTGGTTTGCGTTAATCTAGTGTTTTTTATCCTTTACAACCTTCTGCTTCCCTTTCTTTTGGAGTGTAGGGCAGCTTTGAAGGTGGCCCTGTCCCTTGCTAGCTGACTGATCTGTTCTGAAGTTGTTTGTCACTTAAAGTACTGATAAGATAGATAGTCATCACTGATTCTCTTTGATAACTCCCTAGCTAAGCTCCCCAGATTTCACCCAGACTTCCACAAAGACTTTGAAGTAGGCATTGTTTAGCCATTAGATCATCCCTAGAGACCCACTGCCTGAATCAGATTTGAGGCTGCAACAGCTTTTCTTTCATGACCCAAAGGGCCTTGCCTATTCTGGACTGAAGCAAGTATCCATGGATACAGAAATTGGCCCTACTTCTTTGGGTGCAGAATACCCATGTCAGGGTAGGGAGTCTTAGTTAAGTCTTCTAAATTGCTTTTAATTATGTTTTTCCCGCAATCACCCTTAATGGCAGGTAAGGAGAATGAGAGGGTCACGTATATATTATTTTGTAAGTTTCATAAGCCTCTCAGGTGATCTGTTTGATGGTACCGGTCTCCAGGAGTTTTATCAAAGGAGATTGTTAAGCACAAAACTTTCAGGAAATGAAACAACGATAGAGAAAAATGCTGGAGAAAGCAATGGAAAAGCTGTTTATTATGAAACATAACATAAAAACAGTTATACTGCGTCAGACCAAAGGTCCATCTAGCCCAGTATCCTGTTTGCTCACAGTGGCCAAAACCAGATGCCCCAGAGGGAAGGATCACAACAGGTAATCCTCACATGATCCCTCCCCTGTCACCCACCTCCAGAGAAACAGAGGCTAGGGACACCATTCCTACCCATCCTGGCTAGCAGCTATTGATGGACTTAACCTCCATGAATCTATCTAGCTCTTTTTTGAAACCTGTTAAAGTCCTAGCCTTCACCACATCCTCTGGCAAAGAGTTCCACAGGTTGACTGTGCACTAAGTGAAGAAAAACTTCCTTTTGTTTGTTTTAAACCTGCTGCCTATTAATTTCATATGGTGAATCCTAGCTCTTATATTTTGGGAATAAGTAAATAACTTTTCTTTATTCACTTCTTCTATATCAGTCATAATTTTATAGATCTCTAACATATCTCCCCTCAGTCTCCTCTTTTCTAAACTGAAAAGTCTAATCTCTCTTCAAATGGGATCTGTTCCAAAACCCTAATCATTTTTGTTGCCCTTTTCTGAACCTTTTTCAATGCCAATATATCTTTTTTGAGATGAGGAGACCACATCTGTACGCAATATTCAAGATGTGGGCCTAGCATGGTTTTATATAGAGGCAATAAGCTATTTTCTGTCTTATTCTCTATCCCATTTTTAATGAGTCCTAACATTCTATTTGCTTTTTTCATTTGAATGCTGCTGCACACTGAGTGGAAGTGTTCAGAGAACTATCCACAAGGACTCCAAGATCTTTCTCTTGAGTAGTTGTAGCCAAATTAGTCCCCATCATATTGTATATATAGTTGGGATTATGTTTTCCAATGTGCATTATTTTACATTTATCAACATTAAATTTTATTTGCAATTTTATTACCCAATCACTTAGGGTGTGTCTAGACTACCTAGTTTTGTCGACAAAAGTGGACTTTTGTCGACAAAACAATACCAGTGTCTACACTACCGCAGAGTTCTGTCAACATAAAGTCGACAGAACTCCGCGGTTTTGTCGACGCTGGTATACCTCCTTTTACGAGGCATAACACCTTCTGTCGACAGAACTCTGTCGACAGAAACAAAGCAGCTTGCTTTGTCGACAGAACTCCATGTGTCTGGACGCAAATTGTCGACGGAAGTTTTGTCGACAGTATCTGTCGACAAAACTTCCGTCGACAAAACGCGGTAGTCTAGACGTACCCTTAGTTTGGTGAGATCTTTTTGAAGCTTTTCACAGTCTCATTTGGTCTTAACTATTTTGAGCAGTTTGGTATCATCTGCAAACTTTGGCACCTCACTGTTTACCCCTTTGTCTACATAATTTATAAATAAATTGAATAGGATGGGTCCCAGAAAAGACCCTTGGGGGGACCTCACTAGTTACCTCTCTCCTTTTGGAAAACTTACCATTTACTCTTTGTTTCCTGTCTTTTAACCAGTTATCAATCCATGAAAGGACCTTCCCTCTTATCCCATGACAACTTACTTTACTTAAGAGCCTTTGGTGAGGGACCTCGTCAAAGGCTTTCTGGAAATCTAATTATACTATATCCACTGGATCTCCCTTGCCCAAGTTTGTTGAACCCCCCCTCAAAGAACTCTAGCTGATTAGTAAAGCATGATTTCCCTTTACAGAAACCATGTTGACTTTCTCTGAACAAATTATATTCATCCATGTGTCTGACAATTTTATTCTTTACTATAGTTTTAACTAATTTGCCTGGTACTGATGTGAGACTGTAATTGCTAGGATCACCTCTAGAGCCCTTTTTAAATATTGGCATCACGTTAGCTATTTTCCAATCATTAGGTACAGAAGCTGATTTAAAGGATAAGTTACAAACCACTGTTAATAGTTCTGCAATTTCCCATTTGAGTTCTTTCAGAACTCTTGGGTGCATGCCATCTGGTCCTGGTGATTTGTTACTGTTCAGTTTATCAATTTGTTCCAAAACCTCCTATAATGACACCTCAATTCCTCAGATTTGTCACCTAAAAAGAAAGGCTCAGGTTTGGGAATCTCCCCAAAATCCTGAGCCGTGAAGACTGAAGCAAAGAATTCATTTAGCTTCTCTGCTATGACTTTATCATTTCTGAGTGCTCTTTAGCATCTCAATTGTCCAAGCGCCCCACTGGTTGTTTAGCTAGCTTCCAGCTTCTGATGTACTTAAAAAAACATTTTACTATTACTTTGAGTTTTAGGCTAGCTGTTCATCAAACACTTTTTTGGCTTTTTTTATTATATTCTTATTATTAGAGCATGGAATTACTGTCCATATTTTATACTTACTTTCACAAAATTTATGGTCCTTTCTATTTTCCTCACTAGGATTTGAGTTCCACTTTTCAAAACATATCTTTCTATCTGTGTCTGCTTCTTTTACCTGGTTGTTAAGCCACTGTGGCACTTTTTTGGTTCTTTTACTGTGTTTTTTAATTTGGGGTATACATTTAAGTTGGGCCTCTATTATGGTGTCTTTGAAAAGTTTCCATGCATCTTGCAGAGATTTTACTTTTATACTTTGTACCTTTTAATTTTTGTTTAACTAACTTCCTCATTTTTGAAATTCAGTGCCACAGTGTTAGACTGCTGAGGTGTATTTCCCTCCACAGGGATGTTAAATTTTATTATACTATGGTCACTATTTCCAAGCGATCCAGTTATATTTACCTCTTGAACCAGATTCTGCATGCCAGTTAGGACAAAAAGAAGAATAGCCTCTTCCCTTTCTCCAAAACCAGATGGTTTCTAATCCTGTGCCCAAGGCAATTAGATCAATATCTTCTCTATTGTCAGTCACTTGCCTATTCATAAGACAAAAGAAAAGATGGCTTAGTGAGTTGATATCGTCTTCCACTGATTTATTTTCAGAGCTTAGAGTGAGTCACACACTACTGGCTTCAAGTCACTCTCATTACTGGCTCAGGGCACAGTGTATTTGTGGGTTCAGGTCACATTGCCAAAATATATTTGAATGCTTGCTTATTTATAATTGGTGTAATTCCTGTTCTGTTTCTTTAGCAAGAATCTTTCAAACAAACTGTTAGATTGCTGAGGTGTTTTTCCCTTCACAGGGATATTAAATTTTGTTATTTTATATTATAAACAGTAACATGTGTGTTTGATACCTTACAAGCTATACATCATTTATATAGTAGCCCAATGTCTGTGACTCCGTAATGGTGTAACGCTTGGTGTTGTCTCCGGGCAGCGCTGTTCCCTCTGTAGCGTCCTTCGCCACCTGCCGTGGTGCTCGGCTGACTTCTGCACTGCTCAGCTGGGCCGTCTCGGGAAAGCAAATGGTGCAAGCGGCTGTTTGGGCCCCACAGTCCCCATGCATCACCCCAGTGCTGCATGGGGAGCATAGGGCCTGAACGACCACTTGCGCTGCTTACTCCCCCACAGTAGCCTGGCTGAGCAGCGCAGAAGGCAGATAATATGTGCCCTTTCTGCACCCACTATACATCATATATATATAGTAGTCCAATGTCTGAGAGTCTGTAATGCTGTAGCATTACAGACTCACCTCTGGGGGGACACTGTTGCCTCCCGCCATGGCACTCGGCTGAGTTCTGTGCCGCTCAGTCAGGCCACCACGGGGGAGCCCAAATGACCGCTTCCTCTGCTTGCTCCCCCGTGGCAGCCTGGCTGAGCAGCGCAGAACTCAGCTGAGCGCCACGGCAGGAGGCAAAGGCAGGTGCAAAGGGGGACGGGGCAGTGACGTACATGGCCAGGACCCGTCCCCTGGATGGGGAAGGACTGAGGAATGGCATCCTTCACAGACCACATCCTCGCAAAGCCACCAGTCGAAGGATCTCAACACGTCTGTGGGCACTGTTACTGGCATGTCCATATGCTGGAACACTGGGTTGTGGGTCTATGCCAACCATTGTTGCAGGCCATCAAGAGCCCCAGCAGCCTCATGCAACACTGGGCCATCATGGTGGAGAACGACTGGGGGACCAGGGTGGATTTGGCTTTGTTTAGGATAAGGCCCAGACTGATGAATGTCTCCCTGACAAGGGACATGTGGTTTATTATCTGGGACAGGGAGGAACCTCTTATAAGGCAATTGTCCAGGTACAGATAAACCTGGACCCGTCATTTCCTCAGGAAAGCAACCACTACTGACATATATTTTGTAAAAACCCTGGGTGCTGTAGAAAGGCCAAAGGGGAGGATCATAAACTGATAATAGTCACGAATTGCCTGTGTGCAGGTGCAATGGAAATGAGAAAATTGGCGTCTATGAGATAGAGGGCAGCGTACCAGTCTCGCAGGCCAAGGTTACCATTTTGAACTTTGTCTTTACTATGATTTACTAGATTCCTCAGGTCCACAATGGGGCAGAAGCCACCTTTTGCCTTTGGGAGTAGCAGTAGAAACCCTTTCCCCTGATGTCCCAGGGGACCTCCTCTACCACCCCCAGGTCAAGAAGCTTCTTTACTTCCAGCCTGAGAAGATGCTCACCGTGGCCAGGACCCAGTGGTCCATCATGATGTGCCACCAGGCACAATGGAAGGGAAAAAGAGGATTGGTAAAAGGCCTCTGGTCTGAGACTGGTGTGCTGTCATTGCTCGCACCTTCAAAGATTCAGCCTGAGACCTGGGACTAGCTGGAATGACACGCCCCCGGGTCAGAAGATGAGCAAGAAGGATGCCTGCTGCTTCTGTTATTATTATTATGGCCCCTGCGTCTAGAGAAATCCGACCTATTTCTCTGCTAGAAAGGGTGGGACAGGGCCCCAGGGAAGGAGCAGCATGTACCACTATCGAGCCCAGAGACGGATGTGAGAACATGTGCTTCTGGCCCACCTATGGGTCAAAGTACCACCATTCTGCCCTCTTGTCCATAGGCAGAATAAACACTGATGTCTGTCAGAGGGCCTTGGTGATTTTCCCCACTGTCTTATTCAAGGGCAATGCCACAGGAGATGGCACCTCTGTGTTCAGGATGTCGACCACTGGGTTGGAGTTCTCAGAGGCCCCTGGAGCTGGACCCTGAGACTTTGGGCCAGTCTCCAGGAGATCTTGATGGGCACAGGAGTCCATGGCTGGCATTGATGAAGAGGCCAATCCTAGGGCCTTGTTGGGAAGGACGATGAGTACTTATATACTGTTGAGTCCTCCAGTTCGTGCAGCTGCTCCGATGACTGAGAGTGGGCAGACTTCCCCGATGGCCCTTCATCACCCTCCAATGGGGGCTGAGGGGATTCACCCCATACTGCTGAGGTTTGCGGTGCTGGGGCACTACGCAATGGGGTGGACAAGGATAGGGCCCAGATTCCCAAACATGAGGATCCCACCGTGCAGAGAGTACTCCCTTGGGCCTGGTCATACACCCACAGGATCCAAAATGGCCACTAGTCTGGGTGCTGCCACTGTGGAGGCCAGATCTGCGATTGGCCCAAAACACTGACATGGTGCTTGTGGTGCTGGGAGTGAGAGTGGCACCGAGACCTGGTCAAGATCTAGAACAGCACCGGGACCGGGATCGGCATCAGGAGTCCAAGCAATGCTGGGAGGGGATTGAGATAGCAATGCTCTGGACTGAACCAACTCTACAATGGAATCCGTTGAGTCATCGGACTCTGAGCAAGAGGGGCTGAGGCTGGACCCGGGGATTGGTGCCTTTCCATGTGCTGAACTGATGCTGGCTTGCCCTGGTGCTGCAATGACGGTGGGAGCATCAGGTGATCTGGTGCCATGGATTGGGCCACCAGGATAAGTGTGCTAGACACCAAGTTCTCCCTGGACTCCTGAGAGAGCGAGGCTACTGGTACCGGAGGGCCCATCTGTGTCGGTATAGACATGAGCACCGGGGAGAGCAGCACCACATGGGGCACCGGTACTGAGGGCAGGGCGGGCCTACCCGTGTCCAGTGCCAATGACTAAGCATGAGCCCGAGGCTGGTCTCAGCACTCTGCAGGAGACGAGGGTGAATTAGCAGTCAGTTCGATCAATTCCCACGTTGTCTCAAACATATCTGCAGTGGAGTGCCTTTTGACCAGAACCGGCTTCTCTGCTATACTGCAGCTCTTGGTCATGCTCGACTAACCATGCTCTGACTCAGGAGCAGTAGACCTTGTGGCTGATGCAGGTGCTAATACAAACAGAACTTTGAAATGTATCAGAAGCTCATGGTGTGTAGCATTCTTTAACTATACAAAATGGACTAATTGAGGACTAGTTTTCTTCATAGAAGTTAGAACTGTCAGATCATAGTCCCACATTTAAGAAACTCCTTCACTCCTGTCAATCTTACCACTGGTCTAATAATCATAATGATTAATATCTCTGGGAACAGGGCTTCTTAGTGGCCATTTACTGCCATTTCCAAATCATTAATCTTCATAGTAAATCTTCACTCCATGGTTTCTATGATTCAAACTGTGTAAAATTTCATAATAGAGCTAGTATGGGTAGGGGAAGCAGTGTTTTTGTTTGTTTGTTTGTTTGTTTTTTGTCATGTTACTAATTCACTGGTGTTGAAACCAGGATGAGTCTATTGATTTCTCCCATCCAAATCCATTCCACCTGGAAATGTATTGGAGATAGTGTTGCTATCTCAATTCTTTGGAAAATTACTGCTTGTTGGAATCTGCTATGAATTTTACTTTATACATTGTCATGCAGTACTAATTTAGTAGATCAGGGCTTAGGCACTGTGATAAAAGAGTGCTTTAGAAAACACTAAAGAGAGACACCATTTTCTCTTTAAAACATTTAAAAATAAGAATTTCTCCAGTAATTTGCATATTACCATAGAAAAGAAGTGAGAAAAATGTGATTTAAAGATTGCCTGTACTAATAATTCACACAGTAGACATTTTCCAAGTAATAAATTAGTTGCAGATATAACATTTATCTAGATCATTAAATTTACCTATTTTTTTAATGAAAATCCAGCCCACTAACAATTTGCTATTCAAGCAAAAGGGAATGGTCTACTCCACTAGCAAGTATGGCCTCATTTATTTTTCTACTGTATGATGTTATGTCAGCTCATATTAACCTTTCATATAAAACATTTTGGTTGTAGGGAATAATTCCAGACACACTGGGTGCAGGTGAAAATAAGCAGAGGATTTATTGGTTCACACAGCTGGTGGAGTACCCCCCTGGGATTAACCTGCTGAGTACTGACTTAACCAAAACATACATTAGATTATATAGGCAACAGATGGGCGGAAGGGAAGTGATTTGATAGGTCTAGCGGTGGAAACATTATGAGCACATAAGCCAATAAAATATGAAGGTTACACAGGATCCCCACCCATTGCCAATTAAACATATTATCACTAATACAAATAATTATTCCTAACAAGCTAAATAAGCCAACATAAACAAAAGCATGTTGATGGTCATTTTTTTGGCCAGAAATATAATGCGTCTACTTCGGGGGTGGTATTGCCTTGGCGCGATCTTTGGGATCCGAGCTTATTTTCTAGAAATAAGGCAGACAGTGAAAAACAATCCAGCGCGGTTGTTTGGTACTGGCCTTATCAAAGTGAGGCCCTTTTGGAATGTGGTTGCCAGGACAACCAGAGTCAAGTTAACTGCTGTGCTGTATTCCCAGGCTTGTCTAATGATTTCGGATTTGAGTTCTCAGTTCTCAGCAAAATACCATGGACTGCCTCAGTTTACCCCTACATTGGTAAAGAGGTATTGCAGCTAAAATGGAAAGAGGAATGACAATTTGCAACATTCAAATAGTGGATATTAATTTTTAATAAATACAACTTGCCCTAGATTGCCTTAGTATTATATAAATTATATACAAGTGGCCTAAGGATTCAGGATGTATGTTCCTTATTATGATAAAAAAAACATGTTAAAACAAAGAAATAGTCAAATAGCGAACAATGTTTTATGAATAATTTTAAATACATTTTTCGCATCCTAAAAACACTACATTTGGCAGTGGTGGGTTAACCATAGAAATGACATATACACAGCACATTATACTTGTGACTTGCAGTAAATCATATTTATTCTAAACATATGCAGATTAATTTTAAAATAAAATCAAGGGTGGGTCATAAAAATCAAATTAAATGGTGAATGCCAAGCTGTCAGCAGCCTTTAGAACATGACAGACACATCAGAGGCAAAGATGCAAAGATGTAGACAGCTTTTGGGCTTCCCAAGAGGCCATGTTCCATCACATCAGTATTGGGAGGGTTATCTCAAGAGAATAAATGGTACAATATGCTATTGTTAAAAAAAAAGTCAGTAAACTTAAAAGCATCAATGATTCCAGAAAAAAAAAAACCCCACACACCATACCATCAGAGAGAACTGGCTCCAATGTCAAAATATCTGGAGGGTCAATGTGTGTAGGCAATTATCTGTGAAAATAAAATTTAATTTTAAAAGTAGTCAGATGAACAAATAGATTAAATTACTCCAGTTGTTTTTAATTATAAATAAAAAGGATGAATATTGTCCAAATCCAAAAGACAAATTTCGGAGACTAGGAAAAATTAAAATTAGCGTATTCATAAAAGTTAAACTAATTTTTAGAAAAAAAGGAGAGAAAGAGTTCCACAATAACCAGAATATCATATTCATGGCATGTTTTGAACATGGAGATTATCAGGGCTTGACAAACGGTAGTGAAACCTACTCGCCAGCCCCGCACTGCACATGCGCAAGACCTGCATTGCGCATGTGCACGCTGCTGGTGAACAGGTCGACCAGCTGTAATCTACTGCCCACGGGCGAGTAGATTCAGTGATTTTTTGAGCCCTGGAGATTATAATGAAAACCTAGCTAGAGTTAGGGAAAGTTACACTTAACCTCCAACATAGCGAGCTTTCCTCCTTTTTCCTCTCATCATTGAGATAATACTTATAGTTTAATCGTACCCATAATCTATTAATCTACACTTATGTCTTCTCCAGAAACACTTTATCCTCACAGGTATAGTTCACTGCTGTAACACTTCAGTGTAGACTAAGGATGTTAAAGACTAGTTAACTATTTGATAAGCAAATCCTTATTGAACAGTCAAGTTGACTAGTTGATTCCTGCCAGACAGGATTCAGGACTCTATCAGACAGAGTCAGCAAAGGGGGGGGGGGAAGAGTGGATATTTCAAAGCGGTAGCACTGCAGAGCCCGTACTCTGGGCTCCATGTGGTGCTGCCCCTTTGAAATGCTGCGGTGGATCAGATGTGTGGTGCTGCTCCTTTGAAATGCTTCTGCAGTGTTTCAAAGAGGCAGCGCTATGTGGAGCCCGGAGTCAGCTGGGGACTCCTGAGCTGACCCCAGGCTCCCTGTGGCATTTCTATGGAACCCGGAGTCAGCTGGAGAGTCCCCAACTGATATATGGCTCCATGCAGTGCTGCTGCTTTGAAATGTCGAGTGGAGCCCAGTATCAGCTGGGGAGTTCCCAGCTGACCCCAGGCTCTGCGCAGCATTTGAATGGAACCCGGGATCAGATGGGGATTCCCCAGCTGATCTTGGGATCCAGTGCAGCATTTCAAAGCAGCAGCGCGCATGGAGCCAAGGCTCAAATAGTTAATTCTCCTCAGTTTTACTCTCCTTTCCAAGTTTTCAATCCCTCCCAACCCGCTACCTTCAAAAAAACAAAAAAAACCACAACTTTTTTGTCAAAAAACCCCCAACAAAAGACCATTTTTTTCTTCATGGTTCATCCCCGACCTCATTTTCCTTCATGCCTGTATACCCAGGCTTTAAATGGTGTGAATTTTGCCATGAGGCTATGTCTGCCTCTGACGGGCATGCCTCATTTATAAAGTGTCTGGGAGAGGGCCATCTGATGCAGAAGTGCGCACATTGCTCGAACCTCATGGCTAGAGCTTGATGCGATCACACCAATATGCTGAAAACAAATCTGCAGGGCTCAACAAATCCACTCACCCATGGATTTTGGCAGCAGGTGAGCTGTGTTGGGGCGGAGCTGCCCCGCAGTGGTGAGGGTGACCTGCCCCGCATTTCAACAGCGCCGACCTCTGTGCTACATGGGCAGCAGTCTGTGTCGCTTCTGACAGCAGTCTGCACCGCTTGCTCCTGTGCGGCTGCCGAGCTAAGCGGCGTGCAGGGGGACCAAGTTGTGGGACGGGAGCCAGAAGCGGAGCCGCACACGGGCGTAGGGCAGGGCCAGAGTGTGCGTGCGTCCCTGACATCAGGGGGAGAAGTGCCGGCGCAAGAGAGCACCGCATTCAAAAGGGGAGCAGTGGAGGAAGGCAGAGGGGAGAGGAGACAGAGGAGAGTAATGGAGGGAGGGGGGTCCTTAGTGTCTCTGTTCTGAGCTACTTCCTACCTCTGCTTCTCCGTTCACGTCCTCTGCCCCCACACTCTGCTCTCTGCTCCACTCCCCATCTCCCTCCTGCCTTCTTTGACCTCCTCCATCTCCCGTCCCCTCTGCTCTTACCCTTCACTCCTCCGCCCACTGCCGTCCTCTAGCTCACTCCTCTGTTCTCCCCTCTCCCTCCATTACTCTCCTCCGTCTCCTCTCCCCTCTGCCTTCCTCCACTGCTCCCCTTTTGAATGCGGCGCTCTCTTGCGCTGGCACCTCTCCCCCTGATGTCAGGGATGCACGCACACCCTGGCCCCGCCCTAAGCCTATGTGCAGCCCCACTTCTGGCTCCCGTCCCAGGACTCGTCCCCCCTGCATGCCGCTCAGCTAGGCAGCCGCATGGGAGCAAGCGGTGCAGACCACTGTCAGAACGCCGCGTTCCCTGTGCAGCATGGGGGTCGGCGACATTGAAGTGTGGGGCAAGTCACCTTCATCGCTGCGGAGCAGCCCCGCCCCATCATAGAAGCAAACATGCTGTTCTGATTGTCCCGTTCTCTGGGTGGCATGCACCTGTGCGGTGGGAGTCACATGATGGGAGTGGCGAGTCCCTTTTTTGCTGGTGAGTAGGGTTTTCTATAATTTATAGAGCCCTGCATATCTGTACAAGACATCTCTTCAGCCTCTGTGGGACAACTTGCCTCCCAGGACCAAACCATCAGACAAGCCAAAAGGTATGGACAAAACTCAACCTGTTACCTCTTCTGGCAAACCTAACGTGAAAACACGGGTCTTCCCAGCAAGATAACTACCTCCAATACTGAGCTTATCGAGAGTGAACGTAGGCAATAAGCCAGGCACCTCTGGCATGGCACCGCCAAAATCATTGGCACCGCAGAAGAGGGCTTACTCCAAGTCCAGACAAAAACCGTTGGTACTGGTGGCACCGACAGAACCCATGGCACCCACTAGACATAAATCAGTGCTGACAACAGCACTGCAGGCAGCACTGGATGCAGTACAAAAGAGACCCTGCACTGAAATGCCTCCACCCAAGGCAACATCCCTGCACCAGCGGCACCGAGTACCTCACATTCAGTCTCGGCACAAGGACATGGCAGTGTATGCCCTCTTAGCCTGCTGCTTGTCTGCACCTCCATCTCTTGATGGAGTCCACACATTCCCCGAAGTCACCGGTCCCATCCATTTATCTCAGTGAAGCCAGCACCGAACCTCACAGCCACTTCTCATCATAGCATTCCAGTCCAACTCAACAGTATCTGTCTTGGGAATCTCACTCCTCTACAAACTCTCACCCGCCACCACCACTGCCTTGGTACTCACAACACTGGCAATATTCACCACTCCCCTACCCTAGACAATGGTATCCCTGTGAGTCCTGCTCTTCTTGTAGGGGCCATTACACCACTCCTTTATCAACAGCGAGAAAATCACTTCAGTCACGCCAACCCACGCCCTCAGCCAGGCTGCCAAATTCTCAAGAACGCATCAATTGGAGTTCGATGATTCCTTATCCTAGGGGGAGGATAGGTCCCCTCTACACAACTCTTCACCAGACAAGGCTATCATTTCTACTACCCCACCTCCATCCGATGACTCCAAACAATTCCAGAAGCTTTTAAAAAGTAGCCCTGGCACAAGATCAGGACCTGCAAGAGGTACAGGAAAAACAATATCGACTCCTGTGCACACTGCAACTCCCTACATCCTCTCACATTGCCCTCCCGATGGATGAAGCCATTATGAATCCTGCCGATATCATCTGGCAAACTCCAGTGTCTATTACTTCCACCAATAAAAGGGCCAACCACAAATACTTTAGAATACCCAAAGGTATGGTCTTTCTTTTCGCACTCCCTCCCCCAAATTCTGTACTGGTGGATTGGGTCAGGCACAGGACAAAACAATCCAATATGGGGTCCGCTACTCAGGACACAGACTATAAAAGGTGGACATTATGGTGCGTAAGGTCTATTGCTCTACAACTTTAATTCTCAGAGCAGCAAACTACACGGCCATGCTGGCTGATTATGACTATTCCAATTATTCAAAACTACAGGAACTTATACACTTCCTCTCAGAGCATAAGAGACCGATACTGCTCAATGTGATGCAGGAGGGCCACATCATCTCCTGCATGGCATTACAATCTGCCACAGATGTGGCCGATAGAGCTGCCCGGGTCACAGCATCAGCCATCATTATGCAAAGGGCTTCATGGCTTCAGGCATCAAGAGTACCCAGAGACCTCCAGCAGAAAGTTGAAATCTTTCCTTTCGACAAAACCACTCTATTTGCGGCCAAAATGGATGAATTCCTTCACTCAATGAAGGACTCTCAACCCTCCACACTCTGACCATGTACACATACCCACCCCCATAAAAGGACAAGATACAACACCTACCAAAGGCCCAGAGAACTGTACTGACCACAGATGAGATATGACTTCCAACAAAAACACAGACCCCAACATCATAGACCTTAGTGCCAGCTACAGCATTCAACATCCCAACCTTCCTCATTAAAGCAACAAAGTTGAAAGCTTGGTCAGGAGACAGAAAGATGTCCCCTCTACTTTTACACCACCAACTGGACAGTTACAGTTCACTCACCACTTCCGTCCCTTTTTACATCAATGGGCACAAATAACATCAGACAGATGGGTACTAGAGCTCATCAAAGTGGGTTACTCCATTCCCTTCATCTCCATTCCCCCCACCCATCCCTCTTCAGGGTCCCCTCTCATGAGGCCCTCCTCCAGCAGGAGGTACTCCACCTTCTAAACATAGGTGCCATAGTCAGTATCAACTGCTTTCCAGTGGAGAAGGTTTTAGTCAACATACTTATAACCCAGAAAAAAAGAATTGTGAATGGAGACCCATTTTAGATTTAAGAAGTCTCAACACGTATGTCACATACAAGTGGTAATTCAAGATGGTAACACTAGTAACAATTATTCCAGCATTAGACCAAGGGGATAGGCTTTTGGCTCTCGACCTTCAGGACAGACAGCAGCAGCGGCGCAGGAGCCAGCAAACAGAGCTGTAAACAGGGGAGTTTGAGTGGG